TAAAATTTGATCCAAAATCGGCAGTGCGACGTCCAGGGAGGAGAAACCAAACCGCGCGCCTCTCCCTCTTCCCGGAGCGCCAAGAACCTCCGCGCCGCTCCTCGCGACTGCAACAGATGTCCAGAAGCGTCGGGAAACGTGCGGCTTATAACCCGGTGCGCTTTATATGTGGAAAAAGTTTGAAAAATTAACGTTAATTGATACTGTGGCTTATAATGCGGTGCGGCTTTTGGTCGTGAAAATACGGTACTTTAATTCTCCTTTAAGTATTGTTAAGACAGAGACAGAAGAAGTTCATATACAGATCTTTCTTAAAGTATGAATGGGTATGTTCCTGTCACACTCTCTGTATCAGGAAAGTTCCACTGAATATGACTAAAATCATATTCTGTAGCATGTGCTACTAAACTATCAACATATGCTATGATACACCCACTCACACAAAGGTTCTTGTTTCATGCCCTAGTTTTTTTTTTCTTTTTCACGAAGAACATTGGGGAAGCATTCAGTTTTGTGTTCAAGCTCAGGTTTGATGAGAAGCATAAGGTCTACATCAATTTACTTTCTTGTGTTGTGAAAACTATAAGCAATCAGATTTGAGGCATGGAGGTTTAACTGAAGCCATTTTAGTTTTGAGCATAGTAGAACTTCTCCAGCAACCATTTGTACTAGTTGCCAAATGTTCTCAGCATATTACATTAGTTCTAAATGGAAGTTAGAAAGGGAAAAGAAGATATTCCTATCACCTGAATCATCTATTCATTCAGATCTTTAGTTCCAGTTTCAGAGAAAAAAATAAGTTAGGTAGGCTGCTTTTTAGAATTTCAAGATCAATTGATTTTAGTTCTTTTTTCTATCCTGATATTCTTTCTTCTTAGGAAAATCCTGGCTATAAGGGAGAGGCAGGAGAGTCGAAGCCCTCGGTAAGATCGCTTGAGTTATTCATACTTGTGTACTACCAATCAAGTTATTATATTGAATTGTCTAAATATGCAGTGGCTCAGGTGACACAGTGGCTCAGTAGCTAAGACGCTGAGCTTGTCGATCAGAGGTCAGCAGTTCAGTGGTTCGAATCCCTGATGCCGCGTAACGGAGTGAGCTCGTGTTATTTGTCCCAGCTTCTGCCAACCGTTTGGAAGCATGTAAAAATGCAAGTAGAAAAATAGGGGTCACTTTGGTGGGAAGGTAACAGCGTTCCCTGCGCCTTCGGCATTTAGTCATGCTGGCCACATGACCACGGAGACGTCTTCAGACAGCACTAGTTCTTCGGCTTTGAAATGGAGATGAGCACTGCTCCTAGAGCTGGAAATGACTAGCACTGGCAATATTTAAAATTAAAACATCATTTGATGTCACAATTTGATCTGAATGTGTTAGCAGGAAAAATCTTTCACATTGTTGAAATGTGTTTTGGACAATGCCAAATCAGCTTTTTTGTAAACAATTGAACACCATTTTTAAGGTGGATATTACTTATTTGTAAGGACCTTGGAATATAGTGTTGGAATATAGTGTTGGAATACCCTATATTAACAATTTCTTCATTAAGAGTATTATACGTTTTTATGCTCTTAAAATGAGTTGACTTAATTATCTTAATACATGTTTTCTATGTTGATTGGAGTTCCAGTTCATCTACTAACTATATACTAGATTTAGTGCTTGTTAAAAAAAGAAACTAGAAGTTGTAATTATTTAAGCAATAGAGAAAATGAGTATTTCTAAACAAGGCTGGAGAATTTGGAAACTCCCCTCAAAGGTTCCATGACGCAGTGTTGGTCATTGTGGTGGGCATGGACTTGTGTGGTCCTGCTAACAGAACTAAAATCTCCTTATCTTGTGGCAGGCAGGAACCAATCGTGTTAGTCGGAGATTCACAGGGGAAAAGATCAAGTACCGGCTTGTAGCTGTGCCTCATGGTAATGATATAGCATCCCTTTTTGAACTGGATCCCACTACACTGCAAAAGACTGATTCCTTTGTCCCCCGGTAAGTGGCTTCATCTAGAATACTGTATTTTTTCTAAATAGGAACAGAGACAATAAGCACAATTTAGAGAAACATGGTTTTTTTGGGGGGGAGGGGAAGAGGGGGTTGGCACTTCAATAGTGTAGAGCAGGAAGAGATATAATTTAAATGAATGCTTACAATATCTTGAAAAAGGGTCTCCTTCCCTCTTAATGTTTTACAGTAGTCCTGGAAAAATACTTTTGAAGAGGAATAATGGAATTTTTTTTGCATCATTTCAATTTCTTTTGGGCCTAATATTGTCTTGTTTGACCACTTTCTATAAATGGATTCAGGGTAGATTCAATTTTAGTTTTTCTAATCATTTATCTACCTTTTTATGCCATCTCCTTATCTTCCGTGCATGTATAAACTGATCAGCTTCCATGTTCTGATACATTAGGCAGAAATGAATGAAGAAAATAGGACAAGAAGCACTTTGGGATATTGCATGTAGTAAATAATATATGCATTTCAAATATCACAGCTCCCCTTTTTACATCTTTATGGAATTAGACATGAGTGCACTAAAGGTTATTTCTGACATCCAGTAAGTTATGAAAGGGATATAATTCAGAGTTTGCAAATGTAAAGTTATGTTAAAAGTATTGAAATTTAAGACTTTATTTGCTTCAAGTCTTGTAGTGGAACTCTAAGTGATTACTATATTTCTTCCTGTTTCTAAAACCAAAATACATAAACTTGGTAATAAGTCCTGAAACAGAAGGTCAAGATTATATTACCATTTATAAAGTGGCCATGAGCTCTTGTAGAAAGTCTGTTGAGGAATAATATTAATTCGCTATTCATTTTCAGAAATTCCTATGTTCGATTACGTCACCTCTGCACCAATACTTGGATCCAGAGTACCAATGTACCCATTGACATTGATGAGGAGCGGCCCATCCGTCTTATGGTATCTTTCTTCCTTGATCAGAAGCTACTACTACTAAAGCTGTTTGCTAATGGAACTAATGCCGACTGGAGGTTTCTGCCCTTTTTGATCTAGTCAGAATTTTAGAGTTAGAATTTTAAGCAACTTTCAGAGGTACTTTACAAGAGGTTATGTCAGAGTTTTGGCAGCGTGACTAATGTTATGAGATAAACCCAGGAGCACAACACAGCACACAGAGCCTTTAGACAATTAATAGTGGTTTATATACAAATATGTACAGACATACACATGGTAGATAAATCCCTTACCACTCAGCTACAGACACAAAGAGAGAAATGAGATACATGATGAGAGAGAGAAATGTCCTCTAATCTATATAGACATCTCATTTCTGAATCATCTTTATTGCATCAGCTTACAGTTTACAGTTTACAACCTTACAATCAGCTGGCAGCTATTAAATCCTCATTATCTGACAGGTTACATATTCAAAAATGGCTAACTTTGTGATTGTGTTGCTTTCTTTAATTTCTAAGAAGTTGGAATGCTCAGTTGAACTGGGATATGACACCCCAAACTTAAATCAAGTTATTCAATCTCACAATTCTCATCCCTTCTTTTCAGGCTCATTCCTAAATATTTTCATTTCCTTCCCCTGTAGGTCTCAAATACACACCACCTGAAATATATGCGTATTCATTCTCCTCTTGCTGCTTCTTTCTTGCCTTGCAGACTGCCTAAAACTTCTCATTGCTCTCTGCCACCCTCATCAGAACAGCTCATTCTTTGGAATGGGTCATCTCTCATATTCTCTTCATTGGCTATTTTCTCATGAGATCCACAGTTGTCTCTTAAATTGATTTTATATTTGTCTGTCTGTCTGTCCTCATGCTTTTCTGTCTAAAGAAAATAATATTAAAAGTGGCTCATGATAAGTGAGCATTTAATATTAATTTTTAGTATTTAGTATTATCTGGATGTGATGTAGAGAATATAGTTTGCAAATGTAGACATTTGAGCAATGCACGGAACTACATTATATGCTTCTGCTTTTCAGCTTGGTACCTGCCCAACCAAAGAAGACAAAGAGGCTTTTGCCATTGTTTCTGTTCCAGTATCAGAAATTCGAGACCTGGATTTTGCTAATGATGCCAGCTACATGCTAGCTAATGCAGTAGAGAAGATGAATGAAGGATTCCTTAGTCAGAATGACCGCAGGTAAAAAGCACAAGTATTTTGCAACACTGGACATATAATAGACAGATCAATTTGTGTGGGATTAAGTCAATTAGCCTGAAGTACTAATACATGGCTCCCTTTTGCAAGAATCCAATTTTCATTCTGCAAGAGAATATTATTCCCATTTATGACGTAGTCTATTGCTTTGTCTTGTACAATGAAATTTTATGCTCTAGATCCTGAAAAGTTAAGTTCAAATTGTAAATAACTTTGAATTTTAAAGACCTAGGCAAAACATTTAAAAAGCATGACTAATATTTATGTTGTTTTTGTTTCCTATGAAATAACTATTTATTGTTCAAATAACTGTTGCATGATCTTGATTTATGCAATGTGTTTCACTGATGAAATTAATTATGATTTCTCTGGCAGGTTTGTCATCCAACTGTTGGAGGACTTGGTTTTTTTTGTCAGCGATGTACCCAACAACGGTCAGAATGTTTTGGATATTGTTATTACCAAGGCCAACCGGGAAAGACAGAAGCTTATGAGGGAACAGAACATACTGAAGCAGGTGATTTATTCTCCAGAACAAAGTAAACATGCTCTTTGCATTATTAAGTGAAGAGATTTCAGTATTCCTGAATATTTATGCAATTCTGCAATGAAATGTTTTTCTAAGACTGCAGAAAATTCCCGTGGTTTACTCCAGTAGCAAGATATATAAGATAACATAGGTATCATTTGGAGAAATAGCAACCTTGCACTTTTTGACCTACTTGATCTAAAATGACAGGGCTGCCTTTTCTAATTTGTTCAACTTTTTAAATTCAATATAATGAAGACTTTTTCTCTTAGCTGAATTCAGTTTGAATAGACATAGTGTGTGCCATGTCTATTCTTGAAAATGAGATAGTCATTTGAAACCATAATCTCTTGCCATTGGCCATGATGGCTGAGATTGTTGAAGTCCAACACACCTGGAAGGCACCAGGTTATTCATCCTTATTGTATTATAGGAGGACGGGTAATTTTCAAAAGTAAAATTAAAAAGAGTCAACTTGGATAGTGGAGAAGCATTCCTTTGAGGAGATGGACTGGAAGTCTTCAAGTCCCCAGAGAACACAATAAAAGCCATTCTGAGCAGGTTTCTGCTAGTCCCTCAGAAGAACCAGATAGAGAACTGAAACTCAGAATCATGGAAGTCTTTATACCATTCAAGAATGGCTGATCTCCATATCAAGATGCAGATGGAACAAAGGCCTGGGAATTAGCTGATATCTTTGGCAGGATAACATAGAAGTAGATCTTCCATTGGACACACGTTCATAAGTACTTGGAAAGACAGTTGTAACTTACTTCTATTTTTGTAAGTTCCCTCTTTTTTGACAACATTTTAAAGCAGTTTCTATCTAGTTCTGAAGCTGTCTTAGAATTGGGATTAAGCCTGTTGCATTTCATTGTTACCTATGATAGACTTTTTTGAAACATTTTGATCTGGCCTCTTGGCTTTTTACCTCATCCAGATGAGATTAAGGAGCTCAGTGATTTCAGTAAACCGCAAGTAAATTTGTTTATCAATAGATAAAAGATATGAAATATTCCAGAATCAAGACCTGATGGTTTGGAATCCCCCACCCGTAAAATACACTTTTCAGTTGGACTGATAACATCCTTTCTGTGCCAAACAGATCTTTGGAATTCTGAAGGCTCCATTTAAGGAAAAGGGTGAGGAAGGCCCACTTGTTCGCCTGGAAGAGCTATCTGACCAGAAGAATGCCCCCTACCAATACATGTTCCGGCTCTGCTATAGGGTACTGAGGCATTCCCAGGAGGATTACCGCAAGAACCAGGTAAGCATTTACCAATACGGATATGGATATTGCTGGTTTAGGGTTGGTTTAGAGCCGTGATGGCAAACCTATGGCACGAAGCTCTCTCTGTGGCCACGCAAGCTGTCGCCCATCTCAGCACCATCACGCATGTCTGCGTGCTTCCTGCTGGCCAGCTGATTTTCGGGTCTCTGCACATATGCGGGAGATGGGCGTGCATGTATGAGGGGGGAGAGGGTTGTGCGTGCATGTACGGGGCAGGGGGTCACACATACATGCATGGGGGAAGCACGGGGTAGCAGCGCCCCCTCACACCCCGTTTGTTTAAGGAGGCTTCATGGACATCTGCTAGTCCAAAACAGGCCACTGGGGGTACGATGTGGCCCCCCATCTGATTTTTTGTCTGAGGGGGTGACTTGCTAGTCCCAAAATGGGGCACAGGGGGTCATGCACATGTGCGGGGTGTTGCACGCATTCACAGGGAGATGGGGGTCACAGAGGGTCATGGACGCATGCACAGGGTGGTGGGGCACATTGCATTTTAGGTGTAAGCACGCTGTTGTGTGCGCATGCAATTTTGGCACAGGACAAAAAGGTTAGCCATCACTGGTTTAGAAGATTAGTCCATGATTAGTCTAATGTTCATTTTTCTGGACTATTTAATCTTAATAAGAATAAATGATCCATGTAGAAGTATGTCAGTTAAGATTCATTTGTTCTATGGGTTTGCTGATATGTAAGAAAATTGTTATATATACAGTATTATCGTTTGAAAAAAATCTTCACATTTTTGGCTATTCAGTAGTTGCTAAATTAGCTCGCAATTTTAACGTGGAATTGCTCTACTCAGATATGATTTCTCTTTTTCCAGGAACACATTGCTAAGCAGTTTGGCATGATGCAGTCACAAATTGGCTATGACATTTTGGCTGAGGACACCATCACTGCCCTCTTGCATAACAACCGTAAACTTCTTGAAAAGCACATAACTAAAACTGAAGTGGAAACATTTGTGAGTCTGGTGCGAAAGAATCGGGAACCCAGGTGAGTATCACTTAAGGTCAATGGAACAAATTGCATATTTTTAAACTACCGAGCTCTTCTGCAGTAGTTAACAGGCATCTTGCATGTGTCAAAAGACATTAGATGTGGATTTTAATTATATTAAGATTATGTTAAAGATTAATTAAGAGTTTAGGCTCATTGTTGATTTGTTTGCTGTGTTGGATAATTGGCAATCCAAATTGCCAATAGTGTTCAGGTACCGTATTTTTCAGAGTATAAGACGCACCCCCCCCCCAAAAGTGGCTGAAAATTTCAGTGATTTAGACCGAATATGGCAGAGGTCGGTTGCTCCGAACTGGGCAAACCAGTAGTGGCGGCGGTGGAAGGCTGCACACACGCACGAGCAAACAGTAGTAAAAAAAATAGAAACCCATCACTGGAATACGGGCCTGTTTTTGGTCTACTGAACCCTCTGCATGTCACATTTTCACCCTCCCTGGCTCCCAGAAGCACTCTACAGTGCTCCGCACATCCCGTTTTTGCCATAAATAAGCCTGTTTTTGGGCTCCACATCCCATTTTTGCCCTCCCCAGCCCCAGAAGCACTCTGCAGGCCAAAAGCCAGCGTGTTTTTGGCAAAAACAGGACATGCGAAGCAATGTAGAGTGCTTCTGGGGCCGGGGAGGGCAAAAACTATTTTTTCTTGTTTTCCTCCTGTAAATCTAGGCGCATCTTATAGTCTGAAAAATATGGTAATTAGTTGTAAGGAAAGTGAACTGGGGTAAAGGCTTTGATAATGTTATTAACATCCCGGGGTCAACATCAGTGCATTTACAGTGGATTTGATAGATAAAATACTAGTCCCAATCCAAAGTCTGAGATGAGTAAAGTTTCTTATTGGTAGATGAGGTTCAATGGCCAGAACAGAACTAATTGTTGGGTCCACGTAAAGGATCAGTTTCCAAGAAAATAAATACAAATAGTCCTTGTTGAACACCTACTTGTTCAGCAGCTGTTCAAAGTTTTGAGGATTCTGAACAAGGAGGACTTACATCAGCCCACCCAGCTAAAACAGACAGGAAACACAATAAAATGAACTAATTCTAATTTATTGTAAGACTACATTCACAGAATCCTGCAAGTCTAAAGCAGAAACTTCCCATCTCTACTTTTAACTGTTTGATCCATGAGAGCGGATTCTTTCTAAGTTTCTTTCTTAATTAAGTGACTATGAGCTCCTGTCTCTCTCGTCTGTTTCCTAGGCAGTATCTCAAGTATTTCCCAAGATCATTCATGCATTCCATTACATTTACAACTCTTCTTTGTGCTGTTGCAGCATCCCAGTGGTCACATGTTTGTGATGTAGGTGCTTGGCAACTTACATTTATGTTGTTGTAGCATTCCACTGTCCCGTGATTGCCATTTACAACCTTCGCTGTGGGCTTCCAACGAGCAGAGTCAATAGGGAAGCTGACAGAAGGTCACAAATGGCAATCACATATCCATGGGATGCTGCAACTACATGAAACTCATCTCATAATGGAAACCAGGACTTCCATAACTACATTGCAAGTTGGTGCAGTCTCATTATGTGCTTTATTGTTGTATTACTTAAGAATAGAGTTGCAAGGCCCAATTGCCACTGTTAAACAATGGCTATTATACTACTTTGAATTAAAATACATCTGTGCATTACAGAATTTAATAGAAATTGTTTCAGCTTCTGATTGCTTTAGTCTGAGTGCTGGCAACTCCAATTTTCACCAAAGCATAGTTGGCACTGATTATCTCTGATTATTGAAGTCAGATTACTCAGGAATAAAAAACTTCTGGAGTGGGTTGTTCTTTCCAAGATGTTTCTTCATGCAACCTGGTTCTTTACTATCTTTGTGCCTTCTGATGCCAAAAGTACAGTAATAATGTTTTTTAGACTGGAGAGTTTACATTTCAGATCAGGATTGGATCAGGATAACTGTTGTTAGGACAGAATCAGGAGCAATGAAGTGTGATTTTTGCCTTGTTTTGGTGCTCAAAACCAGGTGATCTGGTACTTTCATCTTTCTATCATATGATAAAGGTGTAAAAGATGTAAAATGGAAAGGAACAACTGACAGAGAGCCTGTCAGTTGTTCCTTTCCATTTTACATCTTTTGTGCAATATAGGATTTTTAAAAGGCCCATCAAATTGCTTGAAAGATCATTTGAACCCTTTACTTCTTCTCCAGGTTTTTGGACTATCTATCAGACTTGTGTGTGTCAAACCATGTAGCAATTCCCGTAACTCAAGAGCTGATCTGCAAGTGTGTCCTGGACCCCAAGAACACTGATATCTTAATCCAAACTGAGTGAGTATCCAGTGTGCCCTTTTTTCTTTGAACAATTGTACTACTGTCTTCTTCCCCTACTACTCTTTTTGCTATCATGATATGACAATGCTAAGTCATTTTCAGCCTATATCATAGGGTTTAAAAATAAATGTACTGGGCCTACAGGTTTATATTAAAATATATTTATTAAAATACTCTTGGGAGGAGATGCAGTAATGTAAGCTTGATCTCATTTGGTCAAATTGTGGTTGTGGATTGTTAGAAACTGAGCTGGTCTGACATGGCTACCTTTCAAATCTTTTTTTAATGTTAGAAGGAAATTTCATAAAGATCACCTTCCTTCAAATGTATATATAGAATGCTGGTTACATATGGTACTTTTTATTATACTCTCTTGGAAGGAATCAATATATTCCAAGTATTAAACTCTTAGATGATTTTGTAGCCATTATTTTGCAGTTAAATAATTTTGGAAGAAAAAGTAATTAAAAGAAAGATAGTGTGGCAGAGAGGAAGAAAATAATTCACCACACTCAGCTCAGAATTAAATGGCTTTGGGTGATTTCTTTTCCTAGAAAGTGAGTGGAAGCATTTTTGTTTTTCAGATTGAGACCTGTGAAGGAGATGTCTCAGACTCATGAATATCTGAGTATTGAATTTTCTGAGGAGGAGGTCTGGTTGACCTGGACTGACAGAAACAATGATAATCATGAGAAAAGCATCCGACAGTTGGCCCAGGAAGCACGAGCAGGGAATGCCCATGATGAGAATGTTTTGAGTTACTACAGGTAATATTTTGGTTCCTGTGGCCTAACTATGTTCCTTGTGTCTGATCATTGACTTATTTTTTTTCAAGTTTAATAGCTTTTGTCTCTTACTGAATAGTCTTTGAAAGCTGGACAAATCTTTACTTTCTCATCCTTATTGTCAACATCTGAGATGGCGACTATCAAGGGCAGGCCCCATTGTGCTGTTTTGGAGTTGGGAAGAGGGAGAGGTCATCACAGATGGGTGTGGGATGATGGGTGGTGAGAAGGAATCATGGAGGGGAGGATGGCATGGAGCCGAGGAGTCCAAGGCTGGCTGATGAAGGTGATTCCTTGCTGGCGTGAACCTTCTCAGAGTTCACTTTTATTGCACTTTCTTTTTCACAGCTTTACTTTTGTCTTCACAGATACCAACTGAAGCTGTTTGCTCGCATGTGCATGGATCGGCAATACTTAGCCATTAAAGAAATCTCCAAACAATTGGGTGTGGAGCTAATATTTCTCTGCATGGCAGATGAAATGTTGCCCTTTGACCTCCGAGCCTCTTTCTGTCATCTCATGCTGCATGTACATGTGGACAGGGACCCACAGGAGAAAGTAATGCCTGTGAAATTTGCACGCCTGTGGACCGAGATTCCTACAGCAATCACCATCAAAGAGTAAGCCATTAAAAATCTTTATGTGGGAAAAGGGAATGAGACAAATGAAGAGACATTATATAGCAATTAGAAGGTCCTGCTAATTCATATTCACCCCTGTGTACATATTGAGAATAGGAACATAAATGCAGCCACTGACTTGTAATTTTGGTTCCAATTTGAAATCTATTTGTAGGCAGTAGGACTTACTTCTAAATAAACATGCATAAGGTTATCTTATTATGAAAGGTGGGAGGTGGTTTGCACTACAAACCATATCCCTTTGATTTGTTCAGTTCATTTTCTTTTGTAGCTATGATTCCAATGTGAACAGTTCAAGAGATGACAAGAAGAATAAATTTGCCAGCACAATGGAGTTTGTGGAAGATTATCTCAACAATGTAGTCAGTGAAGCAGTTCCTTTTGCTAATGAGGAGAAAAATAAACTGACTTTTGAGGTGAGACACTTGCCTTTGATATGTTGTGGAAGTTTTCCTCCCATGTGAGACAGGCTAATTGCACAATTTCAGTTTCTGGCAAGAGCAAAGATCACATTTGTTTCTTTGGAAATTGGTTTTCTATGTACTCAGAAGTATCCAGGATTTTGTTTTAAGTGGTTTTTCACTGTGACTGCTTTCTGTTGTTCTAGACTCTAGAGCTAGTGCTCAGTCATCTAATTTGGTTTCTTCCCTTGTGTTGAACCGGCATCTTTCCAGGTTGTCAGTCTTGCGCACAACCTCATCTACTTCGGCTTCTACAGCTTCAGTGAACTGCTGCGCTTGACACGGACTCTTCTTGGCATCATAGATTGTGTCCAGAGCCCTCAGCTGATGATGCAGGCCATGTATAACGAGGATGTGACTGGTAGGCCTGGCAAGCCCTGACAGAGGCTAAGACAAAATGCAATGCACTTATTTACCTTCACAATGCGTGAAGGAAAATGTGGGCACTTTTTTAAAGAAAGTTTTTTATTTTTCTCTTTCAAATTCATTCACAAATATACACTCTTATAATTACTTTTAATATTTATCTATTCATCATTAATCTTTATCATTATTTTCTCACAAATATATAGATTATAGTTGGGGTCACTTTCTTGCCACCCCATACCTCCATCTTATTTTGCAACAACCTTGCTCCTTCTCTCTTCTCAACCTCCCTTCTCTGCTTTCTTCTTTTCTCCTCTCCTTCCTCCTTTCTTCTTCCCCTCTTTCTCCCCCCTCTCTTCTCCTCCTTCTTCCCCTCCCTTACTTCCTCTGCTTTACCTTTTCTTCCTTTCCCTCCTCATCCTTCCTCCTTTCCGTTGTTGCTTATTTGCTTATTTACTTTCTCTGATGGGTTCTCGGGGTGGCATTTCAGCAATCCCAACTTTATATTTTCATACAAAATAATTTTCTCTGTTACATTTTATTTCTAATAATAATTCCACGTGTATCATTTTTTTTAGCTTGTATACTTTCATTTTAATACTTTTCTATTCCCCCCCCCAATTTAATAATGTGTCATCTGAGTTATTTGTTTTATACATTGTTCCTTTCTCTTTCTACTTGTATCTATTTTCTAACCTATCATAAAATCGCCCCTATATCTTGTAGTACACTGATTCCTCTTTGTTCTTTATTTTCAATGTCAACCTGTTCATTTCTGCACAATCCAATATCTTCTTTATTATCTCTCCTTCTGATGGGATTTTATCTGTTTTCCAATTTTGTGCTAATACAATTCTACCTTCTGTTATTATCTC